GAAGCTGCTGAGGCAATCGGAGAAGCACTTGCAACAAGACCAGAGTTAGAGGTGTGCAATTAATTTAACTAATGTATAACTAATCATTTTATTGTAATTAATTACTACCAGTTTGGTGTTTAATCAGTCTACCATGATTTGTAATATAATTATTGTGTATTATTTTTATCTTAGAGAGCATTATGGAGTGACATATTTACTGGACGATTGAGATCTGAAATTCCACTGGCATTGGTATGTTTAAGTGGGATCATTTGACAGTTTCAGTAAATTTCATTGTTTGATCTCAAACAGAGGAGAATCATTGTATACACGATTTACAATATTACCGTTAACAGTGTGATTGACTTTTGATCTATTCAAGTCATAAGCTTTTAGAAAATTTGTTCTGCTGTATTATCTTGTCTCGATACCTGCAATTCAAAGATATCTACCTATGCAGCTCAAAGCTTTCTTGTACCTTTGACACTGGAATCAGACATCACTTGCAATTAGTTTAATACCGGTAAGCCATTTCCAAGTTGCTTTTACCTCTGTTGCAAAACGAGTCTTGGTGCCCAACCTTTCGTATGGATATGAGATTTTCTTGCATGTCTGTTTCTTGCAAATCAAACTCATTTCCATATGAAAGGTTCTGTACCAGGACTTGTTTTGAAACAGAGATAAAAAGCAACTTGGAAATGGCATATTGACTTCAAAGGTTTGCAGCATGCAAAGAAAGTCTTGTCTGATAGTCTGGAGCTTGTGGGTTCTGTCCTAATTATTTTCGGAAAAAAAAAAGGATGAAAGAAGTACCGCAAGAGATTAAATGAAACGTAGGTAAACAGATTTTGCTGTTCTTATTTAACAGCTCCTGTTATTTTTTCTACTCTAGGGGCACTTGAGTGATGGTGTCATTGCAGCAAATGCAAAGCTTGCTGAGCTGGATCTTAGTGACAATGCATTTGGTCCTGATGGAGTGAAAGCCTGTGTAAAACTGCTCACAAGTCAGGCTTGCTACTCATTAAAAACACTTAGGTTAAATAACAATGGACTTGGTGTTGGTGGAGGAAAGGTGAGGGGCTTATTTTTAATGCCTTTGGATGTTGCTTTTTTGTTGAGATATTGGCTAAGTAGGCTAAGTGACAATAAATCTAATAAATCCAAGGATTGGTCAGCATAAGTGGAGGCAGTGTGGCTGAGTGGTCAGCATGTCTGACTTGCAGTCCAACAGTCCCGGGTTCAAGTCCTGCTTTGACCATTACCTGGATTTGTTTCACGGTAGCCACGAGTTCAGATCCTTGGCCACACTTGTAAATAGCCAACTGGTTTGCCTCCAGGCTGTAAGAATTCTTAACAATGCTATGTTGAACTTGAATTATTTGTTTCAGTTATTTGCTTGGCCCCACTAGCCTTTGTACAATAAACACTGCCAAGGGTAAATAAAGGTCACTTATGTTTTTTTCTTTATTCATGTACTTTAAAGGAGAAATGCAACTTACAGATCAATTGACTGAGATGTTTAGAAATTAACAACAGGTGCAGTGAGTGTTCACGTCCTATAGCAGCCATCTCTTTACAAAGGCTGGTACCATTCCTGTGGGAGTTGAACTCTTTTCTTATGTAAACACTTCCTTTGTTCCAATAAATTTCCATGGGCGCCGACCACAGGAGTGAAAATGCTCTATACTAGGCTAATAGTTTGCACTGATTGTTAATGTGTAATGAAGATGTTTCTTTGTCTGTTTAAAGATTCTTTCAAAAGCTCTGATTGAGTGTCACAAACAAAGTTCAGAAGCAGGAACACCACTACAGCTTCAAGTATTCATATCAGGCAGAAATCGACTGGAAAACCCAGGAGCCAAATCTTTAGCAGCAGCATTTGAGGTAAGGGGTGCGTTCATAGCAACTGGTCTCTTGACAACAAGTTACCTGTACGTCTGCATACAAGCCAAGTGACCCATCAGGGTGGAGCTTATGCCAGTTTCTTTAGCATGAGGTGAATAGGAGTATTTCTACTCTCCCCTGGATGGGATGCTAGTCTGTCGCAGGGTTACCCCCCAGCATTAAATTTGCCGGTACCCATTTATGCACCTGGGTGGAGAGAGGCACTTTGAGCATGGAGTGTCTTGCCCAAGGACACAACACAAGGTCCCTGGCCAGGACTCGCACCCGGACCACTTGTCCCACTGAAGGGTGGTTCTACTGCACTATTATTTTGTGTCTGACCTGATCCGCATTCTAAGAGGTACCATTTTTTGGTCAAAGTAATCTCTTGTGAAACCCACCTTCTCAAAAAGTCTATCAATTTACCTGTGAATATCTTCAACATTTTGCTGTACTCCAAGTATTTATTCTAAGTGGTAAACTATAAAAAAAGGATCTCTGATTTCATTAAATATTTTTATTATTTTTATACTTTTTATTGTTCTGTAGACAATAGGAACACTCGAAGAGGTTCAAATGCCACAAAATGGAATCCTTCATGAAGGCGTAGCAGCACTGGCTGAAGCATTTAAGTCCAATCCAAACCTTAAGGTTGGCAGCCCAGTTGTGAGATACACTGCACGGGCATGAATTCTCTATTATATAAATTGGTTCTTTATTATATGGACAATGATGATATACCAGTAGTTTTCTTGTTCCTAAATTTTGATTTCTTTGTCACATGTGTGAAGATACTATTTTTATCTTTCATGTGTGAGGCTATTGATGTTGTCATGGTTACGGAGATAAAAATTTCTTCTTTCATCATGACTGACTTGGTGAATTTGACTCTTTTAACAGAAAATTGCATTTTCTTTCTTTGTGTTTTGTTAAAATGGTTAGATAACTTAATGTCCAATGCTGCTACATTATTGTCTTTAGGCTTTTACAAGTATTTATTTAATGGTTTGTTTACTTGACATTGTTTGATTTTAATCATCTTTTTACTGACAGATTTTGAATTTAAATGACAACACATTCACTCCTCAAGGAGCTGTAGCCATGGCCAAGGTAAAGTTTGTTCTATTTTCTTTTAGTTTACGTTCTAGTCCCTTTTGGCATTGGATTCCCATTTAACTCTCCTGAATGGAGAAGAGAAGCACTGTGAGAGTAAAGTTTCTTGCTCAAGAACAGTACGGCTAAGGTTCAAAAATGAAAGGCTAGATCTAGAGTGATGTGAGAGTAAAGTGCCTTGCTTGAGAACAGTATGGCCAGCATTTAAACGTGGACTGCTCGATCACAAGTCCAGCACTCTAACCATTAAGTCTCCTTGTCTCCAATTTATTGTGTATTCTGTAGTGCCAGAAAATATCCATACCTCCCCCATGGAAGGGATTTTTTTCTAAGGACCCCCACACACACACCCCTCTGGAAACCTCTCTCCATTTCTTTAAATCTTTTGGTCCTTGAACAGTATGGCTAAGGTTCAAAAATGAAAGGCTAGATCTAGAGTGATGTGAGAGTAAAGTGCCTTGCTCGAGAACAGTATGGCCAGCATTTAAATGTGGACTGCTCAATCACAAGTCCAGCACTCTNCCCCCCCCCCCCCAGGAATTTCCAATCTCTTCTGTTGGGGGAGTATGGATATTTTCTGGACCTGCACATTTTCTTGGAGTTATAAAACAGCTGATTTTTTTTGGCAGGTGTTGCCGAACCTAAAAAATCTTGAGGTCATTAATTTTGGGGACTGCCTAGTCAAAACAGAAGGAGCAAAGGCGTTGGCAGAGTGTTTGCGCAGTGCATTGAACAACTTAAAAGAACTGAACCTTTCTTTTGATGAGATCAACAAGGAGGGTGCATTAGCAATTGTTGAGGCTTTGGCAAGTAAAGACTCTCTAGAGAAACTGGAATTAAATGGTACACTTTTCAGCTGTAAACTTGAATTTTGTTAATAGTTACTTGTGTCAGCATTATATATAGCTGTTACTACATACATTTAACACATTAACAACATTTAAAATATTAAACCATGTTGGTGCCACAAGTCTCCTGTGGCTGACAGTATTATTAGAGCATCTGACCAGTGTGCTGGTCATGGGTTCCATTCCTGTTGAAAGACCTCACAATATTTTGTTACATGCACCAGTAGCCTGTGTCACTAACCGATGAATAACCCTTGTGTCTAAGGAAATAACCATGTGTTGTTGTCACTTAGAAGGTAACTTGCTGAGGAAAGAAGCTCTTAGTCACAACGTATACCTTAAGTAAGATGGCTGACTTGTAAGAACATGCCTCTTGCTCAATGGCATTTCCACTTCCTATTTAGGCCAAATCACAGGTTATCCTCTCGTTGTACATGTATTGGTGGGACTTTTAAAAGGATGTTACTGTGCCTTCAATAACACCTGAACTCTGAAGTTCAAGCCCTTAATAACAAATATATTGCATTTTTGGCTTCCATCAATCATAATTACAACAACAACCAACAAACCTGGAAAAAAAAAAACAAGGAAAATGGATTGAAATCTCTCGATCACAACCCAGAGACATGAAGTAAACTTCTGTTTTCTGAGAGGTCTACTAGGATGGTTGATAACAGTGAAACAAAACCATTGATTGAGCAGAGTTTGAGTTTTCACAAAAGGAGCAGTAATAAAATCTTTTTTTCTTTTACAGGGAATAGCATTGGAGATGATGGAATTGAAGAAGTGAGGAACTGGCTTGATTCTAAGGGCCGGCTTGATACCTTAGGTTCAATGAGTGATGACGAGGGAGAAGGTGATGATGATGAGGAGGATGAGCTGGGAGGCGGGGGCAGCGAAGATGATGATGGAGATACTGCAGATGATTTGAACTTAAGTGTGACAGGTGTCAGTCTTAAGCCACAGTCACCGTTGCTTGGTGACGATGAAGAAGTGGAGAAAGAACTTATAAAGGTGAGTTTTTAAGATAAAATTTAGCTTGCAGACTTGAACACTTAGGTTACAATTGAAACTGAGATTTTGCGTGCACCGAGTGAATCAAACATGGCTGTAAAACATGTTGATACTTCCTATTGAAACATTGACTTATTATTTAATGTTATGTACAGTGTAACATATTTTTGATGTTTTCATGTGACGTGATGCCATGTCTGGCAAAAGGAAAAAAAAATTCTCTATTCTGGTTTATTATTAATAATGACAATTTGAATATTGCAAAATATATACAATATGTGTACATGTGCCTTCTAAAAGTGTTTTTATGCCTAAGTAGCTGAAATGATAGTTTTTTAGCCTGCAGTAAATATCTGCACACAAGCCATTCTCAGCACTAAAAAAATGTAAAAAATTAGAGCTCACTCCAAGAATCAAATCATTAAGTCGATTAATGTTGTAACCCAGTTGTGTGACCATTCAAATGAAGGTCATTTCAACTACACTGCTGCGATACTGTTTATTATGCTGTACAGAAGGAGGCTCTAACTTAAAATCTTTGAAGGGCAACTTCTGTGAGCAGTTCTTCTATGCCATTGATGCAGTTTATATTTCACTATTGTTCAGACTTTCTCTATTCATATTTGGGAGTGGTCATGCCAAAATACCATCTCTCTAACTCCAAAACAGAAAAGCAGAAAAATGTTTCAGCTGATTTTTAATAGAAGGTGTCAGCATTTTGTAGTGCTAATTAGTTTTCTCATTGCACCCTACACAGGGATGTAACTCACCAAGAGATGATTCCAATAAAGAGGGGAAAAGTTCATGATTAGGAGCCAGTACATGTACAAGTCTACTGAATTGTGGTTTTCAATGAACTTGATTTTACCTTGCTGAGAAGAATTTTATTTTTATTTAATGCTGATAACAGTTGTCAATTTAATATATACTAGTCAGTTAAGGCTTTTCAATGAGGCATCACGTCACAGCATGCAGTTGGCAGTCTTTTATCATGGTTATTAGTAGCTGTTGTTAAATTGTACAGGCCTTTTTAGATAAATCATTCATAAAATCAATGTAAAGAGTGGTTTCCAAATGACTATTGAACAAACAAAACCAAAGTAATTTCATCTTTGGCCAATCACACACAATAAATGTAGACAAGACAGTGAACCAATCAAAAATCGAAGCAAAGCATGGGAAAAAATGCAGCTAGTACCAAGCACGGGAAAAGGCCAGGTCAGAACTGATTTCAGGTTTGCTTGTGATTGGTTGAAAAGTACAACAAGACTGCTCTGATTGGCTACTGAATGCTGCATGTTTCATGAACTAATGCAGAATGAGGAACTTGACGAAACAAGCATTTCATTGTAAACTGCGTCACATTGGAAACTGCTCTATTTTATGCCAATTTTTTAATAAGACATGCACTAAACGTTTGTATAATATGTATAATAGCATGTGTTACTCTAAGCACATTATTTTACATGTAACTTGTACTTATACAATATTTGTAGTTAGATAAAAGAAACAGAACTCGGCTTGTAAAGTGTTTGAAATTTCTTATTTAATTTTGCTCCAAAAATCACATCACAGTTACTGTATAATTTTGCTGTATAAAAATGCAATTAAATTATGCGATTATTCACTATTTATAATGAATTTTGAAGAATTTCCAGTATTTTTATCATTTTTTTCACCATTGTGTTGTTTAGGGGTAAATGATTAATTTCATCTTNCAAAACCAAAGTAATTTCATCTTTGGCCAATCACACACAGTAAATGTAGACAAGATAATGAACCAATCAAAAATTGAAGCAAAGCATGGGACAAAATGCAGCTAGTACCAAGCACGGGAAAAGGCCAGGTCACTACTAATTTCAGGTTTGCTTGTGATTGGTTGAAAAGTACAACAAGACTGCGCTGATTGGTTACTGAATGCTGCATGTTTCACAGACTGGTGCAGAATGAGGAACTTGACGGAACAAGCATTTCATTGTAAACTGCGTCATATTGGAAACTGCTCTATTTTATGCCAATTTTTTTAATGAGACATGCACTAAACGTTTGTATAATATGTATAATAGCATGTGTTACTCTAAGCACATTATTTTGCATGTAACTTGTACTTATACAATATTTGTAGTTAGATAAAAGAAACAGAACTCGACTTGTAAAGTGTTTGAAATTTCTTTATTTAATTTTGCTCCAAAAATCACATCACAGTTACTGTATAATTTTGCTCTATAAAAATGCAATTAGATTATGCGATTATTCACTATTTATAATGAATTTTGAAGAATTTCCAGTATTTTTATCATTTTTTTCACCATTGTGTTGTTTAGGGGTAAATGATTAATTTCATCTTGGAATTTCATCTCTTGACCTCATAGGTTTTTATTTGTATAGTGGTATCATTGAGTGAATAAATCTATTTGTGTTGTCTTAAAAGTAAATGATAGTTAGGACGTTTGAATGAAACATTAAAGAGTGCAAGATAAAAAGTGTGATGTTATGAAATTCGTATTCCAAAAAAGAATTTTTCTTTTCCAGACATTCTCATTTGAATGTTAGGAATCCAATATTGTCTAATTGCATTTGTACGATAATAGAGTGGTTTTTCAACTGAGTGTTGAACGTAATCAGGCAGTAAGTTTGGTTTTGGTTTTACCACCTTGAAAAGATTGGCTGAGTAGTCTAATTGGTAAGTAATTGGTTTGGGTTTGGTTTTATGACACTCAATGTCCAATAGCTCCCTTTATGAGATGAGCCTGCAGGGAATCATGGTGGTTGTATTCATCATAACAAATACCCAGTCCAAGATGATGAATACAACTACCATGATTCCCTGCAGGCGCATCTCATGGAACAAAATTGCTTATAGAAACACGCAAAATGTCGTTTTTTTCCGACCAACATGGTTTATTAATTGGTGAAAAGCTTATGGCTGATAGTGAGCCTGAAAACTCAGACAGATTTCCGGCTGTAAACAACAGCCTATTACCACGCGACTACTTCTTTTAAAATGTTGTTCTTAATTTGTCCCCCAGTTCATAGGGGCTGTAGGAAAACATCAAAATAAATTCAGAGGAGAAAGAAGGTTCTTCTTCCCATTGTCCCACTACCAAATCCCCAAGGGTTCAAACGAGCGGAGAGCTGCTTACATATCGTCTTTTCCACTGCAACTACTTCAATCTTTGGAATCTTGTTTACACTGCAAAATGGAAAACATATAACAATTCCAAACGAATTGAAAATACTGATCAAAGTATTTGACAAGGCGATTCAAAAATGGCGTTAGAGATTTGGAATCAATTTTTCTTGTGAACAACAAAAATCCAGTATTTGTTATTTACTATTAGCCGATTCTGTGAGAATTTGAGAAGATTCTTACCTGCTGCGAACGCGAAAATTTTTTCCTCTGATGACCTTGTTAAATAGTTTGAGGATAAGTAAAAAAACAACAAGAATAACAACAGTAGAATCTAGCTTGCGAGCAGACTCGTGTGTCTGGGTTTCTCGTTCGCCTCTGAGCGAGCGGGTTACGATGGAGCGGAGTTAGAATATATGGCCATAACTTGTTTAGCAATAATTAGGCATTTGTTTGATGCCATTGTTACAACATCAACTTAAAAAAAAGGTGCTAGTACTGAGCCATCAAAAAAAAAAAAAAAAATTGAAAAATGTAGAAAACCGTTGTGAACCTCTAAATACAACCTATGCCTTTGGTGTGACCTTGGCACTAGTTGTTACTAAAAGAAAAATCATTTTGCCGAGAATTATCTCTCGATATCTCTTTGTTTTTTGTGCTCAAAAATGGTGTTATTTATTTATTTATTTATTTATTTATTTGCTTGTTTTTCTGTTTACTTATGGATTTGGTCTTTTAAAGGTGGTGAGCATGGAAGTTGTTCAAGATTTTGTCAACTCGCCGTCTTTGGAAAAATTCAAAAATATTCCAAGCTCACAAAGGAGATCATTATTAGCGGAGTATTTTAAGGTGTGTAAATATGGCCGCAATGTGGTATTTGGTATTTTCATATTGGATAATTGCTTTGTTTGTTAATCCCGAAATAGCCTGCGATCAGATGTTGTTTTAGTTCGCGGAGGCCAAGAAGAAAGAATCCGGCGCAGGTTCTGGCATGGTTAAATGTTTTCCAGCGCTTGGCACCATTTTCTTGTTTTCCAGCGTTTAACTCTGGTTAAATGTTTTCCTGCGCTTGGCACTGGTTACATGTCTTTCCGCACATATAATACCATTGATTTCATGTTTTCTCGCGATTGACTCCAGTTACATGTTTTCCCGCGCTTGGCAGTGAATACATGATTGTGCGTCAAGTTAGGATTGATTCTCTGCGTTATTTGATTCGCCAAATGTGGTCAGTTGTGAATGCTATGTTTTGTACGTTCTTATTGCAGTTGACTGTGTTCTGCTTTGTATTTTAACAGGATGACTTGCAAGACACTAATAAAATTGCGAAATGTTTTGTATCGGTGAGTATCCATTGCAACACTTACAGAAATAACAAAGGTATTAGTTTCTACAGAAAACGGTGGAAAAGTGAAACATTTAGCTATTTATCAACTTGAAGTTTAACAAGGCGGACTTCGAACAACTTTTCTCAGTTACTCAACAACTTTCTGAGATTTAGTTTAAAAGATTTACCTTAAGCGTCACAGTTCTTTTACGATATTTTCTTTCTTTCTTTCAGACTTGCGTGGCGCTCAAAGATAATAAAGATGCACTCATGGAATGTGCAGGTTACTTTTGAATCAAAGATCCGTTATATTACTGTTTTATTTAATATGACTGAGAAAGTACTTCATTGTGAATGTGATTAGCTGACAGCAGCCAATTTATCGTTAAGTCAATTTGCAATGCACTAGTGCAAATTAATGCGGACGAGTTTGCCTCCGTCATATAAAAAATGAGTAATTATATGAAAACTCAAGCAATCAAGGATTTACGCTACCCGTGATATTCGAAAATTCTTTCAAAGTGCACTCGCCTCAAGGCTCGTACAATTTTGAGAGAATTTTCAAATGGCGCCTGTAACATAAATCCTTCATTGCACTATCATTCATACGATTACCTCTGCTCAAATTACCAGTGTTTCCCTCATCTGTAGCTTTTCTTTCTCTACAGCTTTCGCCTCTCCGCTCTCAACTCAATCTCAAAGTTGCGAGTTCCATCAAAAACGTTACTCCTTTGCCGGACTGTAATACCTTGTAATGACTTCAACACTATCTTGTTTCAGACACTATTTTGAAGCCTGCTCTTGAATCAGCTGACTGTAAAGAAGAGGGACTTATCTCTTCCCTGTTAATTCATATGGGACTTCTCAAGGTACTTAAACCAAACA